GAGTTCAGCTCTCAGATTCACTATGCATTTATCACTGGTTGTTGAGAAAGTTGTGTTGGTGGTACACAAAATGCTGAATTTACAATGTCCTTTCCTGGTCCAGTGCCTGAGCATGGGATATCACAAATCCGATACCTGGATGGATTTTTCTTCCAAGTAATGAACAACTGGATTTGAACTTGGCTCAGACTTTTTCCGTCCAGATAGTCCTTGTAGGACTTCTAACCCCCCCAGCTGAGCATGCCAAGAGCACAGACAGAAAGAATCTCCATCCATGATTGACACAGCCCAGTTCTGTGCATCATTCTTGGAGATGAACCTGTTTGATCAGCAAAGTGGGGAAGTGACTGTGTGTGTGACTCTGTGTGTGTGTGTGTGCTCACCTGTATCTTCCCACCAACCTGGCCTAGTGGACCCCACTTTTTGCAGGGATTAGGTGGCCTTTAAAGGTCACTTCCAACCCAAACTATCCCATGATTCTGTTACCTCCTCCCAAAAGCTGAGCATCTAAACCCAGCACGATTACAAAGCTCTATCAGCAGAGACTGCACAGCCCAGAGTGCTGACAATGAAAGAATGGGTTGTCTGGGAAAATGCTGGGGGATATGCAAAGATCCAAAATTATTGTTTATTCTGGTGCTATAGGAGCAATCTTGCAAAGAAAAATAGGCTCTGACAAAGGAGGTAATGAGCAAGCCCAGTTCTCTGTGCCTGTGTGTACATGCAGTTGAATTATAATTGCACCACACGCTGAATGTGCACATTCACCACTTGTAAGCAGCCAGTCCCCACCTCAGTCTGTCATAGCAGGACATCCCAACACGTGATACTGGCTCCTGTGGCACCTAGGATGTGAAGGACTAGCTGTGGCCTGAGTCAAAATTAATATTAAAATCCCAAATAAGCACTTGGTTTGCTTTGTGTCTGCTCTGGATCCTAAGGAAATTGCTTTTTGGTTTTTGGTTTTTTTTCCAGAAGTTGTGTGTAGAAATTATGTTGCTTTTTATGGATTTGTTTTTTGCTTATTCCACACCAGTTGTAGCACTGTCTCCATTGCTGCAGAGAGAAACTTTGCTGAAGAATTTTGCGTGGTACAGGAGAAAAGTTGGTTTGATGTTTGGGGAGGGATTTATTTCTTCAAGTCATGCCAGTCATGCACACACCCTGTAACCCATCTTCTGCACAACACTAAGAGCTGCTGCTTCCTCTTGTGCTGCTGAAAAAAGAGCCAAGTGCCACTATTCTGGTTTAGAAACACTTTACACCAAAGTCTAGAGCCTGAAAGTATTTTGTAAAGAATGAGACTTGCTATGTGTGTTCACTACTTGCTGTTACTGCTATGTGATCCTTTTGCTTGAATATGACTCAATTCAGGCTTCACTGTCTAAAAATTCCATTTTCCTACCAGGTGTTGCAAAAAACCCCCCTTACCTCCAGAATTCCCATCACACTGCAGTTGGGTCAGGACTGAAGTGTGATCTGGGGCTTGGCCCAAGCTCAGGGATGGAAAATGAGAAGCAAGGGGGTGTGGGGAGGAGGGCTGTGTCCACATCAGATCCCTCCACACCTCTCAGGTAAGTTGTAGCCTCTCACCATCCTCCCACCCTCCACCGTGTGCAGGGTCCAAATTGTCCCCTTCCCCCTTCCTCCCACCCCTTTTTTTGGACAGAACAGCTGCAAAAACTTTCATTGTGCTGTGGACAAGTATTAAGTCAAAACTCAATTTGGGCTGTAAACATGCAAATAATTCTCTTTGACAAACTCCTGCTGCTGCTGCTGATTACATGAATCAACTTTGCAAGTCTGGAGATTTAATTTGTGCAAATTGCAGCTGGAAAAGCATAGGACCAGGCTAAAAAGACAGACTTACACTGCAGAAATACAAAGCAGGCAGTAACTTGCTGGAAAAGAACAGATCTCTGTCAGAACCTGTTCTTCTAACAATTTTGGGGCTGGAAGGATGTTGAATAATCTCACAATTGTATCTGCATCAGGACATGGAAAACAATGCCCTTTCTTGGATGCTGCTGTGTTTTTGTTTTGTCTGCTGCTTTTAAAGTCATTTTCCTTCTGTGGTCCCCGTGTGAAAGTGCAGGAGCAGTGGCAAGCACTGGAAAGCAGGGACCATGAGGAGATCAGAGAGGAACGTTTATTCCTGAGAATTGTACTGGATTTTTAGGGAGATAACTCCATCACTTCAGGATGTAATTATTTGCAATTTTCTCGCTCTTTCACAGACTTGTGAAAAAAGGAGAGGCTTAGAAGTTATCAGTCCCAAAGCCAGCTCTGAGGGGTTGATAAGAACACGCTGCACCCTTTGAACCTGAGGGGCAACCTGAAAAAAAAAGAGTATTGCAGATGGATTTAACCTCTTTAGCAAATGCAGTGGAGAGATGGAAATGAAATGTTTTCCTAACATGTTCCATCCAATTTGAAACAACCTAAGTGCTGAAATCACTTTCTGGTGTTTCCCCCTTCCCTGCTTTGGTGGTCCTCACTGGAAAGCAATTTTCTTTGGTCATTATGTCCTTGTGGGAAGCTGCTCCATTGCCCAGGTGCTGGGTCAGGAATAGCTCAGCACTGGGTGCTCCAGCAGCCTGGGAGATTCCTGGGCATTTGGATTAAATATCACCTTGATCTTGCCTTTTGCACCTTCACTTTGGAACAATTCAGAATATTTGTGTAAATACTGGCTTGTGTCAGGATATATCTTTATATTCTTTATAGCTGTGTGTCCTAGATATGTGTATGGAAAATATATAACTAAAAACCACTACTTATATATGTGTATAGATATATATGTGTAAATAGATTTTATGCTACTTGTAGCTTAACATAAAGCTGCAATTTGTTATAAACCATACCATATATATCTATATACAACTTGAAAACTCTATTTACACATCTATATGTATGTATTTATATATATGTAAATACTGTTATGCTGCTTCCTGTGGGGTTATCCAGCAATAATGTTATCTTGGAAAGGTGTTATCCAGGCACTGGAGTGATACCTGGTTGAAAAGGTGTGGGGGAGTGGTTTCTTCATCATGAAAAAAGCCATATTGTGATGTCTTGGGAATTTTCTCCCAAACCTTCCCAAATTTTGCTGTTTATTCTGCATGTTTCCCTTAGCAATATCCACACTCCTGACCCACAGTGTGCCAATATCTTGTAATCACAATGTAATACACAAATGCAAGTCTGAAGTGTCCTGCACACCTTTATAGTGTTAAAAATAAGCAATAAAACAGGGCTCAAACTCCCAGATATATTTAAATAGTTCAGGATCAGGTAAACCCAGGATGGCTTAACCCAGGATGTGCCAGGGCTGTGGCTGCTGAAGTGACAGTGAGTGAGATTTTCTTACAACCTCACATCTCAGTTGAGTGTGGAACATCACAAAAGCCTTGACTCATTTTCCCTTTCTGCTACTCCCAGTGCCCAAGCATTTCCCTCAAGCTGGAAGTTGGGACTTTAATTTACACCCCTGCTTTTGGAGGAATATCTGTGTTTTAGTAGGGGGCCGTGTTTGTACATCAGCATGGTGGGAACTGTGTGCTGAGCAGCAGAGGAGGCTACCAGGTGGTAAACAGAGAATTTAAATTTCTAAAAGCTCTCCTAAACCTGCTCAAATCTCTGCACTGTGCAGATAAGGCCAAGCTGTTGCATAAGCTGACACAGTCAGAACAAACTTCTGGCATATGCACAGCAGTTAAAGAATTAGAATTGTAAAACACCTATTCCCTCCCTCCCTTTTTTTTTTTTTTTTACTCAAGGTAGGAGCAAATTTGAAAGGATGATTTGTGTTGTGTGTTTTCAGCTACAAACAAGAAAAAAATCAAGGGTTGGCAAAGAGGTGAGGAATCTGAGCAAACACAACAAGTCTGATCTAATTAATCTGGTTGCCTCAAATGTCATCACTATTTTACCTCAAATTCATTTTAGTCTCAGGATATTGCAGATGTTAGTGTTGTTTAAATGAAGGGGAAAAAAAAACATATAAACTCTTCTCTGATGGAATCCTTCCTTCTGAGAAGGATTAACCTAAAATCTGTGCCTAAACTAACTTATACCTTTATCTTGGTGATAAAAATGTGCAATAAGAGGGAAGCAAGTGGATTTTTTTTTTTTTTTTAATAAGTGGGTTGTTTGGGTTGGTACACGCAGGTGACAACAGGCACTGGCTCTGCCACCCTTAAAGACAAAGGGTTTGTTTCCTTTGCCTCCACATCCATGGTGTAGTCTAACACACTTAAAAACTCTGGAAACTCTGATTTCCATCCAGAGAACATCAGCACATTTTAAAATTCAGGTCTAAAGCACATACAAAGCAAACATTGCTGCCTTGTAAGGACGTGCTGGGTGTCAGTCAGCAAAACACCTCCCAGCAAACACCATTCTCCATCTGCCTCATTTCCTCCTTCCCTGTCCTCCCTGAAACACTCTAATTGCAAAGCTCTGGGTTGTGTTTGATGTTCTGCCTCTGAAATCTGTGCCACGGTCTGGCTATTGTTATAGTAATGCTGCAGGTAACAAAAAGAAATGTATTCATGTAGTTTTTGATTGCAAAGGTACTAATTTAATCTGAAACTCAGGTGTAGCCATGCTCCTTTAGAAATTTATGAGTTGGAATTTTGTGTTTTGATGTTACAAAAACGACTTGAATAGGAAAAATACTGTGTGTATAAGGTCAAGTGCGTTATTCTGTGGTTTTGTTTTCAAAGCAAAATGCTGGGATGTATGAAGGTGGAGAGAGCAGGGCAGGACCTGGAAATACTGAAAAATGGATGGAATCAGAGGAAAACAGTGAAGGGACTCCGAGCAATTTCTTTAAAAACATGGGCCATGCATGTTGTATCAGCAGGATTGTAAAGACAGCCTCTAGACTGACATTCAGGGCAGCAAACAAAGCTGCTCCCCTAGAGCTGCTTCTCCAAAAAGGGGCACAGCCCACGGGGAAAGGAGCAAGGGAGACCACTGGGCTCCCCTGGCCACAGGTCCTGTGTGATGCTCACAGTGATGCTGCAAAGCTGGGGCATCCCTGCAGGCAGCTGCTTCAGGGACACACCAAAGAGGAGCACGGCTGTTTACCCATCTGGGGATGATTTAAAGCAGAAATAATCAATGTCTAATTAGGCAGGAGGTGACAAGGAGGCTACTCTGGGGGTCCAGTCTCTCAGTCCACCCTTGAAGCTTGGTCACCAGTGGTGCTCTGTGGGTGTCAGCAAAGCCATCAGTGTCACAAGGGGTGACCCTTGTACCTCTGGACTTGAGGGGAAATCCTTGAGCTCAGCAAAGGGGAGGAAGATGCCAATGGCTGCAGTTGAGACAGGACTCAGATATCAGTAGAAGAGGTATTAAAAATGAACTAATGAGCATTGTTAAAAAAAAACAAAACTGCTGCCTCCAAGCCAAGCTTTGCCAGCTTCAGTTTCCATCTCTTTCAGCTCAATATACTGATTAAACTACGACCAAAGCAGAAAATTATATATTTTTAGTTTTAAAGAACATAAACAACAGCATTTTACGAATGCAGCCATTTCCCTTTGTCTGGAAGGAATATTTTTGTTCCCTCCAGAAGATGCAGTTGCCAATTGGTGTTCAGTTACTGTCCCAGCTTTGTGATCCTCACAGCACTTCAGCCCCCCAAAATGTAATCCCTCTGCTATTGTCTGCCTGTGTCTCTTTCTGAATGCATTTCCAACCAGTTGGAGATGGGGACATTTGTTGTCTTTAAAACGTGCTGGATGACAGCTCAGCCTGACTCCCAGCACAAATGATGAGGGGAAGAACTGATTCTGCCAGGGAATGTGAGGTCCCACATCCTCACAAGAAGAATTCTGCTGAGCCTTGTGTAAGGCTGTCATTCATTTTCTCCTGATATTAATTTACTCTGCTTGCTTAGCACTGTTAAGGCTCTGCACAAACTTGGTTTTCTTTTGTCTCCCATTGCTCTGACTCTGTCCTGAATACAAGAGGGCTCTTGGGAAGAACATTCCATTGGGATGTTAAATAGACTCTACATGCAGATAATAATGATGGGAACTCAATTATATGGGATTGGTGGGCAAGCAAGAATGATCTTTCAGCACAATTCATTGCTTTACAGCAGACAATCTGAAATGCCTATTTCTGAAATCAGGTCTCCCAATCAAAGCACTGGTGTTTGGTGGTGTTGATGTGTGTGCATTGGACAGGAAAAATACTGGCAAAAATCAGTTTCCTGTTTTCCCCTTCACTGAAAACCCAGATTTTTTTCTTTCTATTAACTCTCCTGAAAGACTGGAGCTGCCTATTTCCTTGGACTGCAACGGCTTCAATGGGGTTTTATCAACCTTTGGCCCTGTCACTATAAAACCCTTCCATGTTTTTGCCAAACCTGCCTCTGAAAGATTACTTTTGCTTGGAGGATGCCAATAAAGGAAATTGCTTTTGCGAGGAAAGAGGTAGGAAGACAACCCTAGACCCCTTCATTTGGATTTCCTCCAATCTCAAATTTATTGAGACTGAAGAGCAATCCCAAATATTTATAAAATGCACTGAGATCCCAGCAGCGTGGTCTCTCTGGGCAGTGTCTCAGTGCCTCCTGCCCCTTCAGCTTTTGAGCAAAACATTTCAAAGAGAAGAAATCAAGCCCCAGGCAGGCAGGGGAGGTACAAAGCGCTTGGCAGGGGCTGCAGTGGCCACAGGGAGGGGACGAGCCCTCCTGCCACATGGCACAGCCCCATCCTCAGCTGCCTGGGGATGAGAAATCCCAGATGGTGAGTGGCAGTCCTGGATCCCGTCCCCGTGTGCAGCTGGCCCCGTGCCCCTTGCTGCCATCACAGAATTTGTTCTTTCTTTAGCTTTAGCGGCTTTCTGCCATTTCTCCCTTAGCCCAAATCCCTTCGTACAGTCTGAGGAGCAGCAATGCTGCAGGACCAGCTGGAGCCTGGCTGCTGCATCGTGGCACAAACCTGGAGAGATGAGGCAGGGGAGGAAGGTGCTGTCTTTGTGCACACACTGGAGCCTGGCTCAAACCAAGAAATGAACAAACTCGGGGAGTCAGTGGGAGTTCTGTTCCTGCCCCAGCCAAGCCCAAAGCAAGTCTGTGTGAATGAATGGGTGTTCCCTCATGTTCCCTAACATGTTCCATCCAATTTGAAACAACCTAAGTGCTGAAATCACTTTCTGGTGCTTCTCCCTTCCCTGCTTTGGTGGTCCTCACTGGAAAGCAATTTTCTTTGGTCATTATGTCCTTGTGGGAAGCTGCTCCATTGCCCAGGTGCTGGGTCAGGAATAGCTCAGCACTGGGTGCTCCAGCAGCCTGGGAGATTCCTGGGCATTTGGATTAAATATCACTTTGATCTTGCCTTTTGCACCTTCACTTTGGGACAATTCAGGCTATTTGTGTAAATACTGGCTTGTGTCAGGATGTATCTTTATATTCTTTATAGCTCAATATCCTAGATATGTGTATGGAACATATATAACTAAAACCACTACTTATATATATGTATAGATGTGTGTGTGTGTAAATAGATTTTATGCTACTTGTAGCTTAACATAAAGCTGCAAATTGTTGTACAGCATAGCAGCCAAGCCCAAAGCAAGGCTGTGCAAATGAATGTTCCCTTGTTCCTGCCCAGATTTCCTCGACAGAGCCTGGAGAGCTGGAACTGGCACAGGAGCTCCACGGAGGTGAGAGCTGCCACAGGAGCTGCACATGGCTGTGCCTCCTGCTGTTCCAGCTCTGCCCAGATCCTGCAGCCCTTCAGCAGCTTTGTGTCAGCCAGGCAGCTGGCAAAGTGTGAGAGCACCTCTTTAATGAATCAGGAAATCTCCTGCGTGCTGTCACCACCTCCCTCACCTGGAGTCAGCTGCAAGGACACTCAGGGCACCTTTTGCTGCCCAGCTCCCAGCTGGACCAGCCTCTCAAGCTGGGCAAACCATGACCTGATAAAGGATCCAGTGGGTCCCTGGGGGTGTCACAGGGCAGGTGAGTGAGGGCTCAGAGCTGCACACACACAGACACCTGATCCCAACCTCCTGCACTGAGCTGGGGCTGTAAAATGGCTTTTATCTGCATGGAAAGGGGCCAGAATGCTGGGTGGGGAGGCAGCTGTGATAAATCAGG